GGATGAGGAGAATCCCAAGGCCCCAATAGTGGTTCATTTCCCACTTGTCAATGTCACATACAAACACTTCAAAAGTCCTGGTAAGGCCATTTGAAATGCACGCTGGCTGTGTTTGTTTACTGCAGTGTTGTAAATAATTACCACTATAAAGGATAGTATAATAACCAGTTAGAGAAAAGTGGTTATCCTCTCTATTCAGATTCAAACAGTTACTGCATCCATTATATTTTACACAGTACGCTATAGTCCAAAGGTGTGAGCGAGCATATAATCCATGGCATTGACCAAAAGTGATACTAGACTGAACGCTGGAAAATAAATCATATTTAGACCATTGACAGTATATATAATAGACAGCTTCTGTGTCTGTGAAGTGAAGCCAACAGGGAAGTGTCTTAAACCTGCATCCTATGTAAAGGCCAGCAGGGGGAGGCTGCAATAAAAAAACGATACCATGCACTCTTATTGAGAAATGAGCTGACTTCTGACTTGATTTAATAGCTCAGTAAACAGTTTCCTAATGAGTTTATGGTCTCAATCTCTAGTTTCAAGTCATCTTCCATACAGCATGATGTTCATTTAGTAAATTACAGTCCCATTTAGAGTAAAATGGACGATAAAGAAGGATATGCTTTAGGGCGTGGCTACCTTGTGATTGACATCCTCAGTGAGTCTGTCCAGCTACACACCAAACTCAATCAATTAATCAAACTGTCAGACTAGGCAGTGCTGATCAGATATGAATCAAGATTATGTAACTGTGTTACTCACCTATAATCATTACAGAAAAATAATTTACTGTACTGTTTTTTTGTAATATAAGAACTTATGTGACCAGGCAAGTCGCCATTGTTTCCTGCTACGCCGAAACTACGCAGCCAGTCAGAGCTCAACTCGCAGTATGTCACCTCCCCTGGCTCTGTCAAACTGTCATGGCGACAACCATAATGCCAAACTTGAGGCCTCAAAACGGTCCCCACAAACCAATGGGTGACGTCACGATAGGTTCACACTTGACTTCACGCTTGGCTAGCAGAAACCAAGTGTGAACCTATTGTAAACCACCCATTGTATTGTGTTTTGTACAGCATTATTCACCCAACTGTATCATTATTTTATGACTGTACAGGTGTAAAGCGTGAGACTGAAGAAGAAATGAGAGCTGGGGAGGTGGATGTGAGCAGCAGCAGCTCTCCATACACCACCAAGAACATGACCTACACAAAAGAGGATTATGAGGCTCTGGTGGACTTGACCACTTATAATGTGTTAAATAACAAAGAGAGCATCACCAAGGCCATCCACAAGTCCCTGAAGAGGAAGGCATCCAAGATGAATAAATAGGAGAAATATTTCTCCTAGTTATCATTTTTATAAGCAGCATAAGTAAATATCTGCTCAGTTTGTACCTTAGCATGTTGCCTTCAGTTACCTTAAAACATATAAAAATGTTGATTGCCAGACCTCCATTAAACCGAGGCATCATGCTGAGAGTACAGCTCAACATGAGTCATTTGTGTAGGTGTTAGTGGTGCCTACTTACTCTAGCCACTGATTTAATTAGATTTGAAGAAGACAATCTAACCACAGTTATTATGCACTGTACATTTGCAGGTTACTGTACACAATACATATTTGGGTTACTTACAGTTAGTTATAATGCTTATTTTAGTATAATTTCTAGCACTTTATTATTTATTTATATATGTATATGTGTAACATTTAAGTTGCTAATCATGCTACCTTTTGTGAAGAGTAATTGTAGTTCCTACTTGCCTTGTTTACGGGGGACACTTATGAGTTTTACAGACTCATAATAAAGATTCATAATGAAACAGATTAGAACGTTGCAGGGAAAAGTTGCAGCAGTGTAAACTGGTTCTCTCAGCTCGACTCAAGCCAGCTGATGGCTTAGCATGCAAATCAGCTTGTCAGATCTCCAGTTTAGAACATGTAGAAGCAATCAATTTGTTTGACACAACCCTTAAAATTTAACAATGCACCCATGGCTGGCTTCAAATCTTACCCCCATTCAATAAAATGCAAGTGTAGCAAGTAAAGCCCAGTTCAGACCAAAGAGTTTCAACGAGATGAAACCACTTTAGAGCGTTACAGGGAAGTTGCAACAAATTCAGATTCACACATTTATGATTGTTTTTATATAACGGTTAATATCTGTTTGTATGAGCTCTTTCCATGCCAATAAATCTCACAAATTGAAAAAAAATTTAGAGTGAGTGTGTGAATATGTGCAGAAGTGTTGACATTTCAGACAAACTTTATTGGATCACAAAGCTCTACCATTCTGTGATATATTACTTAGATTTCAATACCATAGTTTCCTGGTAGATTTCATGGTACTTACTAAATAAAAACTTTGTACTTACTAGCCAGTTCCTTTGGTACTTTCCGAATAACTATATGTTGTTACCATCTAGTTTCCAAGGGACTGTAAAATAAGGTGTTAAATATTCTTAAATAAATTCAGTTCACACAATGTTATTCAATGTAACTGATTACATTACCATGTTTTATTCAATATGTTACCCATTTAGAGGAACATTTTACTACATTTTAACAAGTTCTGTTATTTAGCTGTCCAAATTTGACCAGAACAGGTAGACGAAACCATAATTAAGAGTAACATAATTAAAAAGAAATATAGACAAAAAATAAATAAATTCCCACAGCAGCACACGGGTCAGTCTTCTCTCCCCACATGCCTCAATGAGTCCTGGCCACCCATGACCCTGTCTCCAGTTCACCACTTTTCTTTCCTCGGAACACTTTTGATAGATACTGACCACGGCAGACCGGGAACACCCCACAAGAGCTGCAGTTTTGGAGATGCTCTGACCAGGTTGTCTAGTCTTAACAATTTGGCCCTGGTCAAAGTCGCTCGAAACCTCACGCTGCCCATTTTTCAGCCGGAGGCTTCAGACGCTAGAAAATAAAACTATGTTTTGAGACTTAAAAAAGTCAGTGGAGGGGGCAGTTCTGATGTGCCAGTCTAGGGGCAGCAACAGCAAAAGCGTGGTCACCCCTGAGCTTGTGTTTGGAATGCGGGAGAGCCACAATCCCTAAGTCAGCTGAATGGAGGGACATGGATGTGGACATAGATGTAAAATAAGGAGTTAGAAGGTCTGCAATATAACTGGGGTCCAGCCCATGAAGGAATTTATAGACAAACAGGAGAACCTTTAAATCAATTCTGAACCGTGCAGGCAGCCAGTGGACAGAGACCAGGATAGGTGTAATATGGTCCTTCTTCCGAATACCTGTCAGAAGCCATGCTGCAGCGTTCTAGACCAGCTGCAGGCAGGACAATGATGACTGACTAATTCCAGTGTACAGAGAGTTGCAGTAGTCCAGGCGGGAGGATATAAAGGTGCAGATGACTTTCTCGAGATCTTTGAAAGAGAGGAATTGCTTAATTTTGGCAATGGTGCGAAGTTAGAAAAAAATTAAATTTTTAGCCAAACACTTAAAGCCTAACACCAATATCATTGAAACAGTTCATGAGACTGATTATATAATGATGTTAGCCTGTTGAGTAGTTTTGCACCAGGTCAGTGCAAGCCCTGTTGCAGTAGCATTACCAGAGCACAAGATGGTGCTGCTGTAAAACCAGAAAGAAGTGAGAGAGTGAACAATGACAGGTACCTTCAGATTGAAGCGGTTCCAACACTGGCCAGTATTTCACTGCTGAAAAAAGCATTCCATAGGTCTCTCTCTCTCTCTCTCTCTCACTCTCTCAAATTCGCATCTGCCTTTGGGATTTGGGAAGAATTCAGGGTGAAATAAAAAAAATAAAAATATGTTATTCAAGAAACCCTGTGCTTGATTTGACAAGCACAGATAACTAGACAAAAATGCCAAATTTTAACACCAAATTCATTTAAATTTGAAATTATCCGTGCAACCTATCAAAGACCCAAAGGCAAATAAAATGAGTGTTCAAAAATATTACTTTAAGAAACATTTTAAAATACAGAGGCCACTTATATAGCTTTAGATAGCTTAATCAATATTAGAGCAATGGATTAAATCATCATTCTCATCAACCTCAGTATCAAGTATCGAGGTATCAATGTATCAATAATTGCGTTGTCATTGTTGTCACTAAATGTCAGCGGTAAGTCAAGTAACTTTATGAACAATATTGAAACAAAAATATTACAGGAAATATAAATTATTATTTTAAACTACATTCCAGCAGCATTTTAGTCTAAATAAATTTATTTATTTCATTTTTAAAAAATATTTCAGAGACTGCTTACCACTAGAGGCAGCAATCTAGATGTACCATAGTTTGAGACACGCTGCTCTATAGGGTTGGCAGGTCTGACTGGACTGAGGTGGTTCAGCTTCCACAAGTTAAACCAATGTTGCTGCATCTCAGACTGTTGGTGAGCATGATGTTATAGTAACCGATAGAATTGATGACTGGAGCCAAACATTTTAATAATTTAATAATTTTTACCTTGTTGTAGAGTTTTTCCCCGAAGAAAACCAAAAACATGAATGCAGTCTTTAATCAAACATTTAGGGCTTTACTTTGATTTGGTATGGATCTAATTCAGCAGTTTTTACCACTTAATGTTAGTAATTCCATGAACATGTCACCCTATAGCCTATAGGCCACTGAAGTAAATTAAAGCTGCAGTAGAAAAATTTTGCTGTTTTTCACAGATTATCTGTCTCATGTATTACTGTCAGGATATAGAAGTTTTTAGAAAAGTTACTTTTAGTGACCTACTGCAGCTTTAAGCTTTCAATTGAGTTCATCAACACATTAATCTATTGTTTTGATCTCTTAAATAAACCTGTTAGATTGGGATGTGAACACACCAGGGTGTTGTTTCTTATAATTACTGAATGATTTTTTAGTTATCTGGGGTTATGTCAGTTAGCTAAGATGCAAGAGGATTTATCTGTAGCACTCCATCTTGTGAATGCTTGGCAGGTAGTAAATTATGAATCAATACCACTGAGCACAGGTTATGGAAAGAGATTAGTTGACCTTCCACCCAGGGTTGCATCTGGTCAGTATTAAACTTTACATCAATAAAGCCCATATAGTTTGAGGTGTTGTGTGCTGTCTGTTATCCACTTGCACTATTGTAGGTCAATTGTGTAGGCTGTATTATTGTGCGCTCATCCAATAGTTGTGGTTTGAGTGTTTGAAGGCAGGTCTGACAGGAACCTACACATAAAGGTTGAATGACGTCAGCAGTGGATCCAGTCAGTAGAAGGAGAGCATCCTGCTCCTCCTCCCAGCACTGCTGCTGTTGTTGCTGCTGCTGCTGTGCGCCCAAGGTAAGCTTCGTGAACATTCAGTTTGTTAGTTATTTTTAACTAGTTTTTTAACTAGTTTTTTTTTGTTACTGACACTGCCACTGCCATTTGTCTCTCTCCAGGAGGACTCTGTTTTCTGCTGTCTTGCTCTTCTCGGGACTAACAACATGGGGAGATTAGATGCGCTTCGGCAGTTTAATTTGTTGAAATGGCTCAGAGAGGAGAGACAGTCGAGGAAACTGATTCTCTTCATTGTTTTCGTCGCTCTGCTCCTGGATAACATGCTGCTGACTGTAGTCGGTAGGTGCTTTTCTTACCTCTTACATCTCTGCAAAGTTTTTTTTCTTCGCAACAGGTAGTCCAGTTCACAAAGTCCGTCCAAATACGCAAATATGCCCAATTGTCTTTGATTAGAGCGCAGCTAAAATTCGTCTGTAAACGTGTAATATATTGGCTAATTAATTATTCAGTTATTAGTAATTTAACAATGATGTGCTCCATATTATAAAATATATAGCGCAGGTCTAATAACGCTGATCTCCGTTAGAATGACTGAAAACTACAAGATCAGATTTGAGATCAGCTAATCCCTCCATCTGACGCTCACAGAGGTCATATTAAAAGTCCCTTAATATGCTAATGTGCTGTCTCTCTCCTCATTACATTGTGTCCACCTGACTACAATCCAGTTTATAAAGTAACAGCAGACTTAACGTAACGTCAGGCTATTATAACATATAATAGTCAAATTTGCAGGGGCAGATCTAGAGGGGTTGGCTGCCACCTGGCCACCCCAGTTTGCTGTCAAATGCTGACAGATTTAACACATTAATTTTGATTAATTTTCATTTTAAAAATAACTTGTACCCCTGCAAACTTGGTGCCTATCTTCAATCATCATCAGTTCCAAAGCGATGTTATTGGAGCTGGGAATTTGGTTTTCATTTGGGTTCTGAAAGATTTTCAGGTGGAAATTAATGATAGGTTTCCCTTAATTTGTGCTAAGGTCGTGGATAAATGAATTGATTGTAATATATTTAGGAGATTTCAATAGATTATCTGCATGGTGTAAATGGTTCCTAAAGGGATGTCGGGCGGATCTAGAGAAATATTCATGGGGTGGCTAGAGGGCGGCAGAAATATCACAAACAATCACATATATCAATATATGCTTGGAAAACCCCTCAAAAGAAGATATGAACTCAAAAACATTACCATGGCACATATACAATATATTTAACGGTGGCATTATAAATCAATACATTTATTTCCAAATCTTCAGATAGAGTCTAAAAGGTGACCAGAACAGATCATTACATTAATTTCTGTTGAACACATTATTTTTCAAAAACCCTAAAACATAAAATCAGATTTTAGAATGTTATTACTTTGGTAATGGGTACATAAATGGAATTTTGAGGTAAAAAATTAATAACTCAGTTTTACAGTGTAGGAAGAGTTAATGACTGAGACCAGCATCAACAGTTTACAGTTGTTTGCTTACAGGCTCTCACAAAATGTCGTATTGGCTTTTAGGTCTTTGCTGGATCACATAGTCCAGATAACATGTTGCTGTTCACTGCATGTCTCTGTTCCGCACACCGCCCTGCTTTCTGACTGGCAGAAAAGACTGACGGAGATGAAACCATTTTCATCTGTTTCCAGAATTTTATTGAGACAAGATCCTGAATGAAAGCAGAATAAAGCAGATCCCTCCACTAATATGAAGCAGACCTCAATGCAGAATTATTAAAACATGACTGAATTGAATCACTGAAAATAGCCTGTGGACAGAAAATGAAATTGGTTTATAAAACATTATATTGTGATTATTTACAGATATTGCGATATCATTAGTGGGAATACTTTTTGCTTCCCAAATTTAATTTTCACAAAAAAACTGTTAAAATCATGATGATTTGAAATTCCAGATTTAAGAGATTTAAGTTTTCTTAAATCTGGAGAACAAGATATGTTGACCTGGGAATCTCTGCAGAACTACAGTACTCCATTATAATGCTGTTTCTCGCACATTTACCTTTATCAAAACAGTACAGCTCTTGTTATTTGCCTATTGCTTCTGCAATTTGGATATTGCACTTAACCATATTTTTGTAATATGTTGAATAATTATGGAGCCCTACAGTATACATTAGTTATTTGGCATGACCAACAGTCAATATGTGGCCATAATTAAAATGTCTAGTTCATAATTCTCTGACACACAAAATGTAAAATGTAAAACTAATGTGTAGTTGTGGTGGTTTACTATCATTTTATTTTCTTTGTTGATTATTGTTTTGTAGATTTACTTCTACTGTCAATGTCAACATTTTGGCTTAAATGCTTTATAATCTCAGGCTTAACATATTGTATCAGTAACCCAAACTCATATGAAAGATTAACTTAATTCAGCATGTTGATAGGTTTGCAAGAGGTCTTCAAGGAGAAGACTGAAAGATCAAATTAGTAGCTGATTCCAATATTTAGAGAGCAGGGCAACAGATAGCCAATATATAATGCAGATATCAAAACAAAGAAAAGTCATGCATAATTCCATTATTCCATGAACATTGCAATCTAATATACATGGTTATTATAGCCAGTAACATGGTATTTTATATATTTTTTGTTTAAGCTGCAGTAGGTAACTTTTATAAAAAAAAACGTTTTGTCGTATTTGCCACTGCAGTACATGAGACAGATAATCTGTGAAAAAATCTGGTTCATTTGGCTCCTCCTAGTGCTCCTAATGGTATTCGCAAGAATCCACAGAACCTGAAATAAAACAACCAATCAGAGCCGAGAAAGATAGAAAGACACTTCGGAATGAAGGCTTGAAGATAGTTGATTGTCGAGTCTCATTCCCAGCATCAATATTTGATAACCTTGGAATGAGACTCAACAATTAACTTCTTTTCTATCTTTCCAATTGGATTTCCATCCAAATGGAAATTCTCTCTCTCTCTCTCTCTCTCTGTCTCTCTCTCTCTTTCTCTCTGGTTCATTCCCTAGCCTTCTGAGATTTGGAAGAGAAAAGGTTTTAATATTTAGATTTTACCTCCATCATTTAATTACTTGGGATTTAAGTTAACATGTCACAAAGATTTTTTTCTCAAATTGTTATTAGGGTGTTACGTCTTCGAGATGTCTAGGGGTTGTTGAGAATAACACAATAAAACATTCTCTCTCTGTCTCTCTCTC